TAATACCTCCACCGTTTAAAGTTCCAATAATCTTTACAATTACATTAAAAGAGATTTATGATATTTTCAACGAAGATCATGTATTGGAATACACTTATAAACCTGCTAAACATAGATTATATTATGACGAGAAAAGTGCGAGAGACCCAAGTATATTATGGTTAGAAGCTATTAAATTTTTTACATAAATTAACGTTTAAGTGGCTATTATTCAAATTCTATATAATAAAATTTCTTCCTTTTCTACATCTAATTAATAGTATTAATTAATGTTAATATAAACGATTTGAGCGTAATTTTCAGTCTCATGACATTCTAAAATCGTTTTATGAGAAGTTCAATTTATTTAGTGATAAAATAAATTTTTTTGTGTATTCCTTTCTTGAAATCAAGTTACGTGATCTAAAATGAGAGTGCGATTATTCGGAACGAAATGTATGTCTCTGAGAAAAAATTTAATTGTTGGTATTGCGAGAAGCAATGATAATGATAAAAAAAGCAATAGAGTAGAGCCCCAAGAAAATGTAAAAAATACTTTATTTGCAATTTTTAAAACACTACGCTATCAAGAATACCGTATTGTTATTAAAATACTTTAATTAATTTATTATATTTATTATTTGTTTCGAAAATATTTATATATATTTTTTTTATTTATGTATATTAAGATAATATGATAATAACATAACTGCTACTGACGCTTTTATAAATTTTTTTTTTAAAAAAAAAAGAAATATTTAGATATAATAAAATAAATATTAATGCCTAATAATATGGAATACTTACTAGAAAACTCAAAGCCGTCATCATCATTCAACATTTTTACATAATAAAATTTCCCACAATAATTTATACTATAATTTTCTAATTCATTTGATGATTCTAAATGAATATCCAATCCAAAAGATGGGTTTGATGGTGATAACTTAAAGCGCTATCTACATCAATTTTACTTAGAATCGCATCCTTGATAAAGTTATTTTTATTTTTTAAAGAAAATATAAAACTATCTTTGGTTTTACCCCATCCATTAGTAGATTTCCATATTAGAGGATTGTATCCACCAATAATTTCTTCTGTTCCTTTAATTTTTCTGAATGTGACAGTATTAGGCTTATTATCGCATAATGTGTGAAATATTTTAGGACCTAATCCGTCCCTAAATTAATTCGAATTTATATGGTAAATATTATGATACTATCCATGTTGAAATTAAGGAAGCTATGTTCACAGTAACGATTTTTGAATCATTTTTATTGAATCCTAATTTCCAATTCTAGGAGGTAACAAATTATTGATTTGATATTCTGGAATGCTAATAAATTTTCATAAAGTTGATGTTTAAAAGCCTTTTATATGAATGTACTCTTCATAAAAAATTTTTTGAATTTAAGCTAAATAATCTAATCAAAGGTATGCATCGTTGTAAAGTATTCTCCATTTTTTTGAAATCATCATCAGTCCAAGTTGCGGAATCAGAAGCAAGAGCTGGATTTTGTGTAAGGCCCCACATTAATACATTTCAATTTGTAAATCGTCTCTTTTAATGATTGATATTAAAGATTTTTCAGAAAAAAAGTTAAGTCATGTGAATTAAACACCTTTTCGGGTGATTTTGTTATTAAATCTGTACAAAATTATTTAATTATTAGGTTAAAAGCTTGCTTGGTGAATACTACAAAATGTTGCACCATCCATTCGGATTTATTATCAATCAAATACTATTGCAAGTAATCAATTAATTCTTAAAGAAATAGTCTATTTAGGTATATCTGAAACGTCTTGCTCATTAAATGAAAGAATGACGTCATAAATATATCTAAATTAAAATTGAATTTAAATATTAAAATTATAATAAACAGCATGTTTAGTTCTGTCGTTAACACTTACTTTAAAATAATATGAAAGATTTCAGGTGAAATATTTGGCAATTTAAAATGTGCCAAGATATTATCATTACTTTTTTTATTTAAAGCCAAGACTCGTCGCAAATATGGAGAACGATAACACAAAATATTCATATGAGCACGGAATATTTTAACATTAGGATCCTCAACAACTTCGACAGTAACATCATAATATTCATCATCATCCAATAATTCAATATAAATTTGACTCAAGTTTGAAAGAAATTGTTGAAGATATTTTGACAAAATTTACAATAATTTATATAGAATTTAATCGGGAATATTGACAAAATTTTAATTCATGCCGGAATTACCACCCACAATTTCAAAAAATTGCCTTTTTCGTAAAAATGTCCGTTACGTTAAATTAGTTAATAAACTCGAATAGAATGAAATTTTTATTATTTATTTTTTTTATGTATTAATTTATTATATTATAATTTATAATAAAAACATTTTAAATTTAATTTGTGAGCAAAAAATTTTTACAATATACATAGTTCTATTTTAATACGAGGTTAAGTACCAAAAATTGTATTTCGAATTATTCATGAAAAATATTCAAAAATTATTGATTCAAAAAAAAAAATGCTTCCGTCTATTTTGACCACACAACACAACTATATCTATAGACTTTATTTGATAATATAATGAAGGCGAATTTAAAACTCAATATTTAATGGTTGAATTAAATCCATTTTTTATAAATGATTAATTTAAAATAAAGAAGTTTCTTGTGCTTAGACCTATTTTTTTAATCATATTTAGGTATTAATTTATTTATAAAAAGTTCCCACGAAAAAAAAGATTGTTCTGTTATTGACAAGTGGAAAGATTCCTTTGTTTGCAACTATCTGAATATATCATTCATTCAATGATTACAATATGGAAGTTTCCCTATTTTTTTTTTATACTGAATGGCTAATGATTGAGATATAAATTTTATTTGTTGAATTTTCTCACGCTAAAATAAAAAAAAATAGATTGTTTCAATAAACAGTTTTTAATTAAGAATCAAATATAATACAAAATAATTGTTTAATTTGATGATATAAGAAAACTAGAGTTAGCGGTATACGGGGGACTTCGTCCCCCCTGCTTAGTAGAAATTCTGGAGTTGACTTAGTTTCTATTGGTGTTGTTAGCCGGAGGGCTGGAAATAAAACTTAGACGATATAATTTAGTCCATCGAATTAATCACAATAACTTTATCACAATCACGCCTGTATGAAGACACAGCAAAAGGTAATAGTAAATGAATAACA